AGCATCATTGCAGGCTGCTCCGGGTCAGTGCACAAGTAGAACGAAGCATGGGTGGGGGTAGTGCTGCTCCATGCTTCGCGGAAGCCCGTTGGGAGGTGAGTGGAGCTGTGTTGCACCAGAACCGCGATGCTTGAAATATCATAGTTGCCACGAAGCCTGGAGGGGGCTGATGCTTCGTTTTGGCCTGCTAATTTGTGTTTGTTTATTTTTCCTGGGTTGTGCGCTTCTTTTTGCTTTTGGGTCCGCGGGCTCACCTTGTTTTTCATGTTTGGGGGGGTTCCAGGTTTTGACCCATCCCCATATATAATATATTTATATATATATATATAAGGCTCATGTGCGCTTCAAGCCCATCTATAGGGGATCGTGAAGCATCGCTTTGAGATGTCAACCATAGCGGTATTCTTGTTCCTAATAGCTTCTTGCTCGGTTCGTAGTAAGGCCAGGAGCCCCGTTCGGAGCTTCTTGTTACTAGTAGCGATGCCAGGAGCCCAGACTCCAAGGTCTGGAACATTGCCAGCCACCTTTGTCACGACAGGGGGGTTCACAAACAGTTGACAGATGTTGACAGGAACAATGACTAGAACTGATTAAACTGGCTAGACGAAGTGATTCGAGCACTTGTGGGCGGATGAGTTAGACGAAGTGATTCCAGCAGTTGTGGGCGGTGCGGAACAAAGCAAACCTGTTGGTGTTTCGCCAGAACTCGAAAACCTCTTCACCCCAACCTTCTTCCTCCTCCACGGTATCGCCCGACCTCTGTGGCGCTCTTCGCGTCCTCGACGATCTTTTCGTTCTCCGCCTTCTCCAGCCTTCGTGGCCGGGTTTCGGAGTATTTTTGTTGGCCCTGTTTATTCTGGATCCAAAGAGGGCATGTTGTTTGCCAGACGATGTTCAACCCTAGCTGGAAAACCAAAGAGGACAATGTTCCAAATGTTCCAGAATCTCTCAAGACTCTGAGCTCGACATGTTTCATCTTCCCAAATCCAGGTCTTCAGCACCCAGAACTTCGTTCCAGCTCCTCTAACACAAAAATGTCAAACCACCTCTGACATCTTCCGACCTACAGATGAATTAAACCTCGCTGCACCCAGGCGGCTTTCGGGCGTCCGTCTGGTTGCTGACACTCTCCGCGTTCTCCGACAGCTGCACCTGGAGCACTCGGAGGACGAGGGCGTCGGGGCGCGGCGGCGTTTGGGGGGCGGCGGAGGCTTGAAGTGGATGAAAGTGGAAAGCTTGACCAGTTGATGAAGTGATGAGAGATAGACTAGAACATGAGTATTTAATATCATGATTATCACCACTGAGAAATGTAGAAAGAGACTGAGAGAACACAAAAAGCAAGCTGTTGAGGTAGTTCTGTTGTTCTGCAGTGGATTCATTTATATATATATATATATACCGTTTTAGACCATCATCCACCTGAGAATCCGAAGCTCTCTAGCTAGCTCTCTAGTATTCTCTGACTCTAGTGTACTCTAGTCACCCCTCGAACCCAAAGAAGCACCGCGACCTACTACGGTCACCACTCCTCACCACAGTCCTATACCTCCACTGATCCACTCATCCACCCTCTCCAAGAAACAAAGAAACCTCCAAATCTCACCTCATCCTGCTTCTCCCTCCCTCCTTCCGAAACGCCCAAAACCCACTCGAACCGCTCCAAAAACAGAACGGAGCCCCTCCAAAACGCCCTCATCCCCCCAGCGGCTCGCGCCGCACGGCTCGCGCCGCACGGCTCGCGCCCTCATCCGCTCTCCGCGCGCCTGGAGCTCGGTGATCTCCGCGCCCAGCTGGGCGGTCTGCGCCTCGGCGGAGTCCATCTCCGTCTGCAGCCGCTCCACCTCGGGCCCCACGGGAGCGAACGGAAGGGGTGAAGAGTGAGTGGGTGGAGCTGGTGGTGAGTGAAACATGTATGCGAGGTGTATGGCAGTGAGCTCAGAATTCAGAATCAAGTAACCACACCTATATAATGTGTATGTGTATACTGTATATATTTTTATATGCTAGTAATGATTCTGAATGATTCAGATTCATCGTGGAAATCCTAGTGCTGACCATCCCATCTGGGAGATGCGGCACTGGCTGAACAGGAAAGTATAAACCTGGAACCCCAAAGAAGCCCCTTTCGTATCAAAGAAATCAATACTGCGAAGAAGACCACCTGGCCGGTTTATCGTCTTTGCATACATCTTCCTTTTTCCCATTCCCCAGGGGGTTTCCACTTGAACCAACCTGGCCCAAGGCCCACGGAGGCGACCCGATGCGACCCGACGATGCGACCGTCGCGTTCGGTGCCGGGTCTCCGTGGAGCTTCGTGTGTCGCGGGCCTTCTCATTGGCGGTCATCTCCTTTTCACACCAGTCCCTATGCTCCATCTCCTGGCTCATGGCCCAGCTGGCAACTGGCGTGATATCTGGAGAGAAAGGCACCCAGATCTAAGAGGACCTAGGAGGTGGAGAAATATGAGTGATTCCAATGTGAGGACCCGCAGATGTTGGCTCAGTTGACTCAGTATTCACAGAGCCAGTTGACTCAGTTTGAGCTGAAAGACCCTCCTTCTTAGCGAGGTCGTTAGGTCGTTGAGCACATCCCAGCGGGAGCAACTCCAAACTCTGCTCCTTCAACATCAACTAAGTTGTGTAGGTAGTCCAGCCATGACACCCAGACAGGATGGTCCAACTGATGTGCATCTGAAACACAAAACAAAAGAAAGCACACCTTCAACCTTCTACACCAACATCCACCTGTCAAAGGCTCCTCGCTGGACTCGGATTCTAAGGTGGTGATGAGGTTGTTCAACATCTTTCGCACATTGGCCATGGGATCGGCACCCGTGCCGCTGGCGCTGCTCAAGCGCGTCGCCATGGAGAAGAGAACACGGCTGTTGATCTTCATGGCCTCGAAACGGTTGTTGAAGCATGAAGAAGTCATACTCCACACCCCAGACAGAATCCAGTGGGATCAAGGGCCTAAGGATCCTAAGGGCCCAAGTAGTGGGGGTTCAAACCAAATCTCCAAGACTCCAAACCTTGACGCACCAAAAAGGTGTGGAAATAAAAACAAAAATAAAAAAACAATAACAATAACAATAATAGGGACCAAATAGGGAGAAGGTTCGGGAAATAGACCACAACGTGACCACAACCCCATTTTGTCTAGAAGAGGTCCCTCTTCCAGTTATTCTTCCGGTCAGATGCTATCACCACCGACCGGGTGATCACTGACCGATCACATCGACCGAATCACCTCGACCTCACCTGATTCTGCAGGTACTCGGCTGCGCGGCTCTGTGCCGCACTCACGCTCCGGGGCCAGGAGAGGGACACCAGCGCTGTGGCGCGTTGCGTCAAGGAGAGGCGTCCTGGACCCGTAAAAGACTCGAAGAGAGTGGCACTTGTTTTGGTTGGGGGGAGATGGGTGAGGAGTGAGCTGGAAATGGTGCGAAGCATTGGTTTGATGTCTTCGACCACCCAGACTCGCTTTTGGGCGCAATTCGGCGCCAGATCCCAGTGACCATGCCTTTCGAGATCGCAGCACGAGGGGGTCTGTCCTTGTGTGCGATCGATTTCCTGAGAGGACAGGAGATCAATGGTCTTCTCGATGGCACTGAGCTCGCCTTCACGAAGCTTTTGCCGCTCTTTGTAGTCTTTGGCTTTCTGAGTACAGCTTTGGTTCACCTCCGCGGGACGGACGACTGGGTGCCAGGAGGGGTGGTGCTTCAACACCTAACACCCTGCGAGCAGTGCAAAACTCCTGAAAACACCCAGAAACACCTCATCACTTCGCAACTCAACCTGCTCGATGTCCAAACTCCACCTGGCCCCCCTCCTTGCTTCTCTTGGCTGCGCCTCACTCAAATAGCTCTCCATCTCCTTCTTGGAGGCCTCTGCATCCGCGAGTTGAGATTTGGAGCTGCCCAAGGCCTTCTCTTCTGTGGCCTTCCGCTGCTTCAGCTCTGCCTGCTGTGCCTCCGCTTGGCTGATGAGAGTGCTCAGCTCTTGCATTAGGCTCTGATGCGCATGGTGCAAGGTCATCTCCTCCCAAGGCCATGAGACACATGGACGAACTAGGAACAAGAAGCTACTAGGAGCAAAGCCTGCCAGCCACGTGATTCTTCGCTTTTTCTCCACGGGGTCTGACAGGACCGCGTCCGCATGAGGGGAGCGGTTGGTCGGTCGGTCGGTCGGTCGGTCAACCGACGACAGGTCCCTTATAAGGGGCACCCCTAGAACGTCTGCAACAGACGTCTGCAACAGACACCGGTTCGGGGAAAAAATACATGAACCACACCAAAGGCCAAAAGCCAATGGATGCCCCTGAGCTAAGATGGCTGTCCATTGGGTGATTTGGTGACCCAAAATTCTTATGCATCAGGGTCGACGCGAGCAACACCCAGCTTGCTGTCCTCCTTCTCCAGCTTGCTCCGCTCATCCGAGAACCTGTCCCTGAGCTCGTTCAGCATCTCCTCGATTCCTTGGCAAGTGACTCTCATCCTACATGAGGGGTGAACTGAACTCAAGTAAAATGAAGTAAATCAAACTTGTGCTTCCAATTGTCAGGTCTTGAAAACATGGTTTCGGTCGGGTTTGAGACAGGAAGGCCCAGCACCCCCCCGAAGCTTTCAAGACCGCAACACCACACAACTTTCAGGGCTCACCAACAAGACCCACCAAGTCCACGGTACCCCACCAACCTCATATGCTGCTCCCGCCGAGTGAAAACATTCTTGTCCACCAGTTCGGATACTCAGGTGCACAGTTCCCCGTCAAATACTGTTATGCATCAGCTCCGACCTTACCATTTTTGTCCAAGTTTTGCAGATGTCCATCATCCAAACCTCCCCAGCACACCCTCCGCCCCCAGGAAAGACCGCTCCATCACCTTACCTCGGCCTGGCCTCGCCCCCCCAAAAAAGCCTCGAAATTGGTTCACGGCACGGTCCGAGGAGAAGTCCAAAGAGTCCAGCTCCGGCGCGAGGTTCGAATGGTACACCGCCAAAAAGGCCGCCACCTGGCGGTGGTCCGCATTCGTCCGTGGTGAGGGAAATGCGGACGTGAAAGGAGTCAAGAACTGGTACCGGGGGCAGATCATGATGCCAGCAGAAGGGAAAGATGTGCTTGGAGTAACAGACAGAGTGGGACTCAAGACAGAGTAAGTTAGTAAGGCTTCAAGGGCCATAAGCCTTGTTTGACACTTCAAAGTCACCAGTCAATGCATCTATCTGATTACCACAGAAAACCGGACGCTGCGCCCGCCACCATCCCGGCACATCCGGCACATCCTCCCAAGTGACCCACCTTCTGTGCAGCATGTGGTGGCAGCTTCGTCAGGAGGCTAACACCCTGTGAGGGCGACGTCTTCAAAGAGCGTGAGGCCTTCAGAATCGCCTGGATCGACTCAGTGTAGTCTTGATGCGTCTCCTTGTATAGGCTCGCCTCCTTCGTGCCTGAAGTAAGCCCGTGGCAAGTGGAGCTATTTCTGAAATATCCCGGAAAGTGCACGTAGAAAACAATTTTGCGATGCAGTCAGGGTTGGTTCCCAACTTCTCAATCGGAAAACAGTTGCAGCTCAAGCTTCGTTTCAAGGTGGCATTCTCCTTTTCCACCTCCCACTTCTCCAAGTCCTTCACCAACTCCGCCAACTTCGCCTTCCCCGCAGCGATCTTCGCCTCGGAGTCCTCGCCCGCGGCCAGCAGCAGCGCCGCCGCGTCGCCGGCCTCGCCCAGCTCGCGGGTCTTGGTCGCCAGCTCGGCCTCGCACCAACTGCTGAAGCTCGCGTACTGCCTCGGCGGCTTGGTCGCCCTGCGTCACGGTGTGTGACGGGTGAAGAAGGGGTGAAGACAGGTGAAGACGGGTGAAGACGGCTGAACATGGAGGTTCCGAGGTTCTTCTCTGAGTTGTTCAGAGAGGACCGAAGCTTCGGTTCAGCTTCGGTTCGAAAGTGCCAGCTGAGATGCTGGTCTATCGGCCACGTCCGTGGACCCTTGGCGGCATCGCGTCGGCCACGTCTGCGTGAGGCCACGATGAACGCCGCGAGTGTTTGGTCCACTCAACGGAGACACTCCTTCCTGCAAACCCGCTTTCCCCACCAGAAATCAGTCCTGGTTGGAACCCAGTCTATGGCGCCAGCGACTGAGGTCCTTTACATACAAAATGGCTGGGACTCTGGAAACATCCAAGTGTTTCTGGCGGGTCGGACTGAGTTTCCAGGTTTGTACGGTGAGATGCGGATGGGGTGGGGGACTCCCCCAAAGGCCCCCCAGGTAGACGGTAGCCAGGTGGACCTCAAGGCCTGGTCTTTGTTCGAGGGCTGCACTGTCGGTCATCTTTTGTTTTGAGACCTCCCAACAGAGGTTCAATGACCCGACTATCCCATAGGTACCCCAGTAGGGTCCTTTAAGGTCACTTAACCTCTCTTGGTCTGTCGTTTGCAATTGCGAGGGTCGTGAGAAACTCCCGTTTCGCGAGACGAGGAGAATGTGTGGGTCGTGGAACACGACCCTTGGTTTCCTGGCTGCCCCATGTTCCAAGGCACATGACTGAATCCATGCAGAGATCGTTTCCGGAAGCCGGGCGGTGGAGTTGGATGGCTTCGGGATGAGCAGAACATGCTTGACTTCGGGATGGAAACTAAGAGACAGCTTTGGGTGGATTAAGACATTTCGATCCAACAGATTCGGGTGACGTTTCAAACTCTTGATTCGTCAGAATTTCGCTGCCTGCATCCATGGGAACAAAGACATCCCCTGACGCTGATGGTTGAAAAGGCAAATTGGAATTGTGAATTGTGTGCTCCCTATCTATCAAGATGACAGAGGTTTTGCTCCGTATCTTCATCAGTGCTTCACAACAAACCTGTATCCTGTATACCCAATGTCTACCTGGGTTATCCAATGGATGTCCAATAGGTTACTCTAGACTGCTTGTGGACCTCCGGACACTTTTTGGATAATCCTGGTATGTGATCTATGTGTCGTTGGTATCCGCACGTTGATCCTGTGATGCGGACAAAGCCACACTTCCTCTTCATGCTTCTCCTTCTCGCTGGATTCCTTCATGCCTTGCAACATGGAGACCACCTTCTTGAGTACCGGTGCAGCTTCATGTGGTGCGACGAGCAGCAATGACAAACTTCCAAGGAAGATGCCACACTTCATTGTGATGCGCACTCCTTCCCTCCCTGGCCACTCCAAAGAGGCTGAAATGCTTTGCGGTGGAGCAGGGTCGGATCGTTGAAACCCGTCCGAAGTGACGACAAAGGCAGGAACTGGGAGAGAACCCTTTTTCTGAGACTCGTCCGAATCACCCTGATACTTTTCCAGATTTCTGGAAAAGATTCACAACATCTCCGCTGAACCTTCTGACTGTCAAGAAAAAGCTGATCAGGTCATCCCTGTACCACTTGATTCTGTCCCAAAACCCGTCGAGTTTGGAAGAGGCATCAAATCCGAGTTGCCCCCTTTGTCTCTCGGGACCACTGAGGACAATCCAAAATCACTCCTCAACCGCCTAGATCAGCTACAGGGTGCGATTCAACTCTCCAGGATCCAAAAGAAAAATTCACTTCTCACTCGTCATGTTTGCCCTTCGAAGATCTTGCAAGCACCAGGTCTACAGTCTACTCTCCTTGCTCGTTCGAGTTGAAGAGTCTCTAGGGTCTACTCTCTCTTGCCCATGTCCAGTCCATTAGACTCGCGCCTCGGGGGGGCATATCTGCAAAATGCTGAGAGAGGAAGTCGAAGAACCTCAGATCCCCCCACGCGAGCTGCTGAGCGCACACTCGGACCTGCTGAGAGCAGCTCAGGCAGCCCGGAAACTGATCTGTAGCTACAACATTCTCTTCAATGTTTTCCCACTAACATCACTAGCCAACTCTTAAAGGCCTACATGTTCTTGCTGTCGATCATCAACCCATCAACAAGTCCTCATTCGTGGGACATTCACACAAACTAGGACCAACTCATCTGTACAGTAGCTGTTTCTTCCCGTGCGTTGACCTTGCCGTTCACCCGTTGGCCACCTGAGAAGCCCCACAACGACTGGGGCAGCTCCACATCCCACAAGTTGCCTCGCCCTGGGCCGTTCCGCCGCGGGACGCCGCAGCACGCGGTTGGGCCGTAGCACGCACACGACAAAGTGTCTCCAGGTGCAAACACGGTACGAAACCCCATCTGGTATGTCCTTCTTCAGCCCAACCGGATAGAACAACCCAAAACGACCCAAATCTCCGTCGTGGAAATTCTCCAAAGACCGGCACGGAGAATGCCGGTCTTGGCCGTGTGGGTGGTGTTTTCCGTCACACCCTTGATGAACCATATCAGTATCTAGTGAGAAACTTCGCACCAAAGAACTTCCAACTGAAAAAATATCCCACTGGGTCTTGCTACCAAGGATTGCAAGATTCTAAGCCTGTCGCAACTTGCGTTCAACACGTCAGGCATTGATGTTGCCTTGAAGCTCAGAAACCTGTCCCAACATCATCCCCAGCTGACCCCGGCTGCCCAAGATTAAAACCAACTTCATCCCAACCATTCCGCTTTTCATCCGAATCCAAGTCTGGTCCGTCCACTGGGTCGTGCGGACAACAGCGCAACTTCTTGAGCTCTCTGATGGTCTGAAGAAAATCCTCGAGCGAAGCCGGGCTCAGCTGGCGCTCTCCGCCGGCGGAGCGGAGCACTCCGCAAGGGGGTCCGCTCAGTGAAAACTGGTGCTTTGGTTTTGGGTTTCGGTCTCTCAGTCGCTCGGAGAAAACCTCTGAAGCCTTCGGCCACGCAGGCTTTTTCCCCACCCAGAGTGTCCGCTGTTCTCCACGGGCCTGACCGCCTTCCTTCACGTCCGTCGACGGTCGAAGACGTTTCATTGGGCACCCCTCACGTCGAAGGCGCGCTTGGTCGTGGCGAACCTGGCGGAGGATGGCAGCCCGGTCGGTCCAAGGCCACTATAAAAGTTGTCTTTGGGATCCGAGAACGAATGTCCTTTACTCCGGTGGTGGCAAAAATAATCAAACTTGGTCTTTGGACTTCTAGGGAGGCTGAACACATCCTGGTCAAATCCTCAAAGCAGTCCGTCCGTCAAGAAATCCAAGAAGTTCACCATGGTGACTGGGTTTGCAAAAGGACTGGGCTTGACAGATGATCCTGCCCATGTTTTTCGTGTTTGGTTAGTCGGATTCAGGTCCTCGAAGCCTGGAGGGTTTCAGGTCCTCAGCGCCAGGCCAGGCGGTTTCTTCAGATCATGCCCCTCCAGTGGTTGGAAGATCGAAGTATGGCAGGAGACCTTCGTTGACCCTACCTGGAAGGTCAAGCGCATACCGAGCGCTCCGGTGGAAAGACCCATCAAACCGAGCTTCACCGTCGAAAAAGCGTAGGGCACCCAAAAATGTTAAACATATTAGTTCAAAGAAGTTTTATAAACTCAAATTATAGCGGGTTATTTGCAAAAAACATAACAACTAACCACAATTACCTCATTCATTCCACAAAATCATCACTACTAACCATAGCATCATCTCATTCATTTTCATAAATCAAAACAACCTACAATCTCTATACTACTATACCTCATCCATTTTATAGAAATCATCACAGTCAATACAGCATCACGTCATCCATTCCATACCCAAAACAAAACAACCAAACAAAAAAACAAACCAAGCAAAGCACAACATATAAACAAAACAATAGACAACAACAATACATATAATTCCTTAGTCTTTTATAATCCTACCTTACAAACCCATAATTCTAATAATAGTATTGTTAAAATTATGTTAGTAGTAAATGTCTTCAATAATTACTAATTCAAAATGACATGCTTGTATTCCTATTATACTATCTTTATCATTGTCTTCATCTATATCTTTCTGTATTTCTTCAACTGCTTTATCTAATACATCGTCTATATTATCGCTATCTACATATTCATCAAAGCCATTCATAAAATAAATCTCCCTATAACTAAATTCATGTTCTCCATAATCCTTTTCTTGGAGTTGCTACTAATTGAAACTTCAATATCAAGTTTAACTCTATAATTTACATCATCTTCTACTTCTTCATAAAGTAAGGACAGTAATTCTTCTTTTTCTTCTGTTATTGTGTCTTCTATACTTTTTAAACTAAATGGCACTCCCTCTCTCATAATACAGTATTCAGTTAGATATATTTTTTTCTTGATTTCAAATGTCGTGTTATTTTAGGACCAAGTCTTGACATCTTATATTTGTTGTGTATTCTCTTTAATGCTTCAATATGCCAATATTTAATTTTCAAATAGTTAGGGTCTCCAATGTTATAAAAAGCTATTTTGCTCAGCACATCAACAGGAAAGTCCTTCACGCAATCCATCCTACCAACATACTTAAATAACAGTTCTTTAGGAATATATTCTATGATTAAAAAACATTCTTGTAAAAACTACTGAAAGATAAATTAACTACACAAAATATATACTATTATATGATGAAAAAAATTATAGACTATTTTTTGAGTAATGATTTAGCAGAAATACAAAAGAGATGAAGAAAAGAATTGAAGTCCATAATCATAGACAACAGGAAATTCAGATACAACAAAGACAAACCCATATCAAATGGTTTAACAAACAAAAAAATATTATCAGTAAAGAAAACTAATGAATACAGAAGTTATGCTATGAAAAAGGCAACGGATGTTGTAAGTAGAGAAAGGGTTAGACATTTATTATATAACCAAACACGCAATAAGAAATAAATTTAGGGTCAAAGATATTCAATCAGCATTTAGAAGATATGCTAATTCAATAGTTTTAGAAACAAGCACTTTCAAGGAGAAAGAGGATTAGAAATGGTTGCTCACCAAAAGCAAAGACTATCAGAATGTTTAAGCAATAATAGAAACATGAAACTTAACATAAGAACGGAAGGATTATTTGAAAAACCTGAATATGATGACGGAGGAAATGAATTAGGAAGTCAAGAACTTGTATATGCTTTACCATCAACATATCATCCAATTCACAATGAAGATGAACTGACACAAGCATTAGAAGATAGTGTTATTCAAATCCGATTACAAATACAAAATTTGGAAGGCTCAACATCTAATTTAAGATTTAAAAAGATTTTATCAATAACTATTCACTATGACAAATTTGACCCAACAAGAGCAGGCAGTTTTATAGAATTACCAGAATGGATTAAATCAAAGAAAGCTTGTATCAACATTAAAAATAAAGACCACAAATGGTTCAAATACTGTATTCAATCCGTAGTCTATCACAAAATTGGCAACATCACCCGGAGGAAATGTTCCACTATAATAAACTAAACGATGATATTTTGAACTGGGAGCCATGCGTTCTGTGCGAGGTCGACTTTGAAAGGGTCGAATGTACGGCATCTCATCCTTTTTGAGTGTTCTGAACAAACCCCGGCAGCCTTTTTGGCTAGCAGCAATCATCCAGGTTCTGTATTCTTGCGTCTCTGTGGCAAAAACTTCATCCTGGTGCAGGGTCCATTGCTCTTTGCTGAACTTAAGCAAAACCTGAACGTGTTCATCATCGTGTTCTGTGAACAGCATCTGGTAGGGGAGCATGTAGCCCTCTAAAGTGATGTTGGCATCATTGTTCCAGTGCTCAGCCACATGCCATCCAAGGCGCTCCAGGTGTTGCATGGCTGCGGTTTCACGATTGCTTCTGTGCAGGTGTTGTTGCAATCTGACTTCAATTTGTGACCAAAAGGCCAAAGTGCCCCTTCCTTTGGATAATCCAAATCAACTTCTAATATGCATCCTATGTCATCATCATCACTATATTTCATTACTCTCTGTTCATCCATTCTACCGTAATGCCATTTAAAATCATCAGAGGGAAGTTTCTTACACATTGCTCCATAAAGGTTATTAGCATCTAAATAACTTATATATGATGACGGTTTAGATTTATCATAATACGCATTCATGTATTTATTTTTTGCTTCTACTTTCTTAAAGGAGCACTGTGTCATTCCTCCTCTTAATCCATGTTCAATCATCTCATACAGTTCTTTTATGTGTATTTGTTGTAGTCTAACTCCTGTCAATGATAAAAAGGCATTCCAAGAATAGTTAGGTAAAGTGATATAATATGCTGGGTCTAAACCATAATAGTTTAAGCACATGTCCCTAAAATTTAAAAAACATCAGTTAGCAAATATACATCAGTCATCAAATATATATATCATGATACAGTAGTCACCAAGATTCTGAATGTCAAAATATTTCCACGCAATATTTGCTCTGGCGTAGTCTTTGTCAGTTATGTTTTCTTCATATATTTAGACTGTATATAAAAATCTTCTTTGTCTGCTAGTTTTGTTTCATCGAATTTCTCCCATTAGTTCATGTAGTCATAGGGATAGACACCCTTATCATATCAGTCAGCAAATTCAAATCAGTTTTGGATTTGATGTATGGGTTAGTGCGTGCACATCCAAAACGAGTTTCCCAGTCTTTAATCTTTTCATGTCCTTCATATGTTTTAACTTAACTAATTTATCTAATGATGCTGTTAAGAAAGCAAAACTGTCTTTAAACTGACAAGCGCCAAATGAAAAGGTTATGATGTTTTTCGCTGTTTTGCGCTATTACATCTATTCTTTTGTTTTGGTTTAGTTCTATGTTTAGTTCATTTGCTTTTGCTATGATTAAGTGAGCGTCGAAATTGTTTAGATTATGAAAGAAAATAGTGATGTTAAAATACCTATATAAATGAATAATCCACATTACATTTTACATGCAACGCGCCTCTGTATTTGCCTGTGAGGTGGCAGCGGTCTTGGACTTTTTTATCATCAGGTTGAAATTTCTTCTCACATATAGAGCAGTGGGTCGCGCTTCTAAATTCTGTCTTTTGTTCGTAAGTTAATTCATCCATTGGTGTATTAACATTCATCTTTTCAAATATATCTTTCTTAATTTCAGTCAGTTGTTCTACAAACTTTATCATACAATCCTCACCTCTGTATAAGTTTTGTTGGCATGTATTATCAATCCTGCTTACTACATTCAACATATAACCGCACGGTTTATGTTCCTGATATGTGCCTTTTATACCATTGTTGGAGTTAGTTGTTAGACATTCAAAATCACCATAGATTACAAAAAGACAAGGCAATTTAGTATTATGCCTTTCAAATTCTATGTAAGTGTCTTTATCAGGCATCTTGGTTTGTTGTCCTTCTGATGCCATACATCCCTTCTCAAAATGGTTCTTATATGCCTTTTCTGATGAGAAAGGGTTCAAGCAATGATGGCAGTAGTGTTTCTTGTTGATATTTTTGTTGCTTTGGCAGTTAAGTAATCTACTTTTGTTTTTCACTAATACATAGTGATAGTTATTACCTTCATCGTAGACATTTAATAAATAAATTTCATATTTTGCATTTCTATTTTTAGTGTCTCTATGTATGATTATTTTATTATCATTTAGGCAGCCATCAGTTACAAAAACATTTATTGAAACTAAGTTGTTGTTCTCTTCAAATCTGTCTATGTCCCTATTGCCAGTTGGACATTTTACACCATCACAGTTCAAAATATAATCGTTTTACTTTATTATAGTGGAACATTTCCTCCGGGTGATGTTTGCTAATTTTGTCATAGACTACGGATTGAATACAGTATTTGAAACATGCGTGGTCTTTATTTTTAATGTTGATACAAGCTTTCTTTGATTTAATCCATTCTGGTAATTCTATAAAACTGCCTGCTCTTGTTGGGTCAAATTTGTCATAGTGAATAGTTATTGATAAAATCTTTTTAAATCTTTAATTAGATGTTGAACCTTCCAAATTTTGTCTTTGTAATCGGATCTGAATAACACTATCTTCTAATGCTTGTGTCAGTTCATCTTCATTGTGAATTGGATGATATGTTGATGGTAAAGCATATACAAGTTCTTGACCTCTTAATTCATTTCCTCCATCATCATATTCAGGTTTTTCAAATAATCCTTCCGTTCTTATGTTAAGTTTCATGTTTCTATTATTGCTTAAAAATTCTGATAGTCTTTGCTTTTGGTGAGCAATCATTTCTAATCCTCTTTCTCCTTGAAAGTGCTGGTTTTCTAAAACTACTGAATTAGCATATCTTCTAAATGCTGATTGAATATCTTTGACCCTAAATTTATTTCTTATTGCGTGTTGGTTATTAATTGTCTAACCCTTTCTCTACTTACAACATCCGTTGCCTTTTTCATAGCATAACTTCTGTATTCATTAGTGTTCTTTACTGATAATAATTTCGTTGTTAAAACATATTATATGGGTTTGTCTTTGTTGTATCTGAATTTCCTGTTGTCTATAATTATGGACTTCAATTCGGTTCTTCCTCTCTTTGGTATTTCTGCTAAATCATTACTCAATAAATAGTCTATAACTTGTTTCATCATATACTAGTATATATTTTATTTAGTTAATTTATCTTTAAGTAGTTTTTACAAGAATGTTTTTTAATCATAGAATATATTCCTAAAGAACTGTTATTTAAGTATATTATTAGGATGGATTGCGTGAAGTACTTTCCTGTTGATGTGCTGAGCAAAATAGCTTCTTATAAAATTGGAGACCCTAAGTATTTGAAAATTAAATATTGACATATTGAAGCATTAAAGAGAATGCAAAACAAATATGAGATGTCAAGACTTGGTCCTAAAATAACAAGACATGTGAAATCAAGAAAAACGATATATCTAATTGAATACTGTATTATGAGAGGGGGAGTGCCATTTAGTTTAAAAAGTATAGAAGGCATAATAACAGAAGAAAAAGAAGAATTACTGTCCTTACTTTATGAAGAAGTAGAAGATGATGTAAATTATAGAGTTTAACTTGATATTGAAGTTCAATTAGTGGCAAAACTCAAAACTCCCAGAAAAGGAATATGGAGAAAATGAATTTAGTTATAGGGAGATGTATTTTATGAATGGCTTTGATGAATATGTAGCTAAAGATAATATAGACGATGTATTAGATAAAGCAGTTGAAGAAATACAGGAGAAGATATAGATGAAGACAATGATAAAGATAGTATAATAGGAATACAAGCATGTCATTTTTGAATTAGTAATTATTGAAGACATTTACTACTAACATAAGTTTAACAACAATATTATTAGAATTATGGGCTTGTAAGATAGGATTATAAAAGACTAAGGAATTATCTGTATTGTTGTTGTCTATTGTTTTGTTTTTATGTTGTGCTTTGCTTGGTTTGTTTTTTTGTTTGGTTGTTTTGTTTTGGGTATGGAATGGATGAGGTGATGCTGTATTGACTGTGATGATTTCTATAAAATGGATGAGGTATAGTAGTATAGAGATTGTAGGTTGTTTTGATTTATGAAAATGAATGAGATGATGATATGGTTAGTAGTGATGATTTTGTGGAGTGAATGAGGTAATTGTGGTTAGTTGTTATGTTTTTTTGCAAATAGTTATTGAGTTGTTAACCCGCCATAAATTGAGTGTATAAACCTTCTTTGAACTAATATGTTTAACATTTTTTCACCCCCCCCCGACCCTGGCACCCGCGGCGGCGGAAGGAGAAAGCTTGTGACTGTATCGGCGGTTGATTGTTCATTTCATGAAAACAGTAGAAAATCTACTCTGTCTACCTTACTCATCACGCGAAGGCGGCTTCTCGCCTCTCCAGAAGCCTCTGGCGCTTTCCTTCCAAGGATGGGACAACCGCATGTGAAGATGGACCTCCATGGAAGCAAAATAAATGCGGCCTACATTCACCATCAAAAAAACACCAAATGTAGGCCATATTTGGTTACATGGAGCATTTGGGTCTTGTACCATGCTAGACCTGTTTCTTTTACTTGTTCAACTGAGGGAAACATCCTGTCTCAAAACGAAAGGAGCCTCTGGCTCGGATTGTTGAGCTGCTCCAGTTTCAGAACCGAACCAAAAAAAGTACATCCATAGGCTAATCCTGGTCCATGAGAACCTCGGAACTGCACATGAAAGATTCTGAGAATCCACAGGAATATTCTCTCAGAATGGCATGACTCATGACCTCCCGCCTGGCGCGCATCCCGCCGTGGCGGGGTTTCTTCGCAAGGTGCGCGTGCGTGCGCGCGCGGAGCTCGACGAACGCGGAGCTCGCCTTTCAAGTGCGCCTTGAGCTCACTCCCTGGGCGGACTGTCCCACCCATAAAAAGGATGCTCAGTGAGTAAAACCTGTTCTCAGTGAATCCTGATTCTCAGAGATCCTACTTGTCAGTCAAAACATCGATTCTTAGGGTGCAAAACCATCTCTGACTGGGAGATCTCCCAGTCTCGTCACACCGCTTGGGCGTGGCCGCGCGCCGCGAACGGGGAGGACGCCCCACGCCTTGATGATATCGAGAGGAGGCCACCGACCCATGGGCCGAGGAGGCTCGGGAGCCCTTTCGCGCGGAATCGGCGGAATCGGCTCCGGCTCCGGCGTCGGAAAACACCAAAGTGGCGAGATCTGGCGTGTTGGAAAAACGGGGTTGGAGTCATGGTTGATGTCTAATGGAAGTAGAAACAATGCAAAAAAACATCAAAATCATCTACATGGATCTTCACCTCGAGCAAGCTGCGGACAAGCTAGCTAGATTGAAGGAAGAAATCTCACATAAGTATAGCTCGGTGTTTTCCAGAGCAACACTTTTTCCTGGTTTCATTTGTCTTCCAACAGCGCCACCCGCCGCTCCTGCAACGGCAGGAGCTTGGAGTGCACCGGCGCATGAGGACCTTCGCAGGCGCCAAACGGGCGGAAGCGGTCGGTCAGTCGGTCTCGAGCCGAGAAGCAGAGGTCGTAGTTCGTGGGAAGGATCTGCTCCTGCTTTGCGGTCGCGCAATTGGGAACAAATGACAATAGATAATTGGAAACAAATGCGTAAAAAAAAAGTAAGCACACGCTTTCGACTGTTCCCTCAATCAAAGGACATGGAATTTGAGTGAGCAACCATATAGGCTTGGTGAGAGTACCCATGTCCATCGCCAGTTTTATATACAGTATATATATATATATATATGACTGATATATCATTAGTAGTGTTTCGATCATCCTTCATATAGGGAGGTGTGTTTTCCCTTTTCAGGGGTAGGGTGATGCGGTGCAAATCTCATCGATTGGGGTTGCGGTTCCTTGTTCCATTCCGGGCAATCCAGGTGAGGCCAACCAAATCCAGAAAAATTATCCGCACCTGCATAAGTATGCCCTTGGCAATCGTTTTTCAAACTGTGAGTCAACAGTGGGGTTGTTATGGTTCGACGGTTTTAATATAATTCATTGTATTCTTTATACTTATTCCGAGGCCAAGAGGCCTCATACCACATTTACCCTTCTCCCATGCCCTATATGGAACGACAAAGCATCTTCCCTTGCCCCTCCCTGGCTTTTTCGCAAGCCGAGGCTTCTGAAGATTTGAATGGGGCAGATGGGGATCACGGGTCACACTCCAAAGAAAAGGGACTTGAGGAGGGCCATGAGTAGCGAGTAGGGGCTGTTGTTTCTGTCTACGCGATGTGCCGTTTGAAGACATTGGAGCACAGCTAATTTGCGCATTGCTGCATCTGCATGGTGTGTTCCAGTGACACTTAATCAACCAACCAATAGTAAAAGGCAATCTATGGTGTGTTCCTTGTTTTGATCCAACAGCGATGCCCAGTCCACTACCGTCACCAAACCGCCAGACACGATGTTTCAAACCGCCCCAGTCCCACGCTCGTCTCTCCCCAGCCATCGCCAGTCCAGATAGTCATCGACGAAAGGTTCTTCTGGCAACAGCTCCTCTTTCGTCTCCTGGCACGGGACCGTTCTGCCGTTCAACCCGGGCGACTGAAGTCGCGGTCGCCATCCGTCGGCGGGACCTCGCTGGCTGTGGCGAGTGCGCAGGTCTCTTCATGGTCCAAAAGCTTCACATTTGGCGTCCAAGCCTGGCACATCCATCGCCTGACCCAGAACTACAGTATAGAAAAGATGTAGATTCTAGATGATTCGAGATCATTCACTGACCCGATTCACGAGCCCCCGCCCGCTGTTCTGTCTGATGGATATTCCGCATATCGAGAGAAGCGCCGTCCCAAACCATCACTTCGATGCTCGCAGGATGCGAGAGCAACCACGAGACCGTTCCCCTCCGCTAAACCAAGGGCTGATCCAACTCCATAGCAAATACCTACTAGAACAAGGAGGTGCCATGGTTCCCAAGTGGTGCAGGATATTGTCCAACCACATCGAGAGAGCGAGAGAGAGAGAGAGAGATAGGGACAAAAAATGCCATGATACCAGCAGCAAACTGCTTAACGGTCTCAAAGCAAGCTAGTCTGTTTCTCATGCTCTCACGGATCATGTTTGGATCTTCACCAAAACGGCCAGACTCTTAGGGACACTTACACATCACCACGATGTAACATCCCACAAAACGGATAGATTCTCAACCACTCCCAATGGTCCTCATGGACTACCCGACTACCCCGACTGCACCTCCTCCTCCAGATCGTTCAGCCAACTGCTACGGCTGCCCTGGAGCAAGACTCCCCCATTTCTTGGATTTGCAGTCCAGTCCAGAACCGGGAAAAATTGAAAATAGTCCCCAGAAGGGGATTCACATAACAAGAATCAAAATATATTAAAATCACCCTAAGTCAATCCGAGATAAAGACCAATCCCCAAGGCGAGAAGCTTCAGGACCCAAGCTGACTTGGGAAGCGCAAGCCAGGAACCAGCGGAAGAATCAGAAACTTCTTCACCGAGGTGTAGAATTTCCAGGGGAGTCCCGGGAAGGTGTCTTTGGGTCTCAGACGTTGCGAAGGAATGAGGCTGTTTTTGGCCACTCGGGCGGTTCGCACGCCCCCGTGCCCGCTTTAAGACGTGGACCGTGTGGCTGTTGGTCAAAACCTAACATACCCAAACATGGTCGGTTGATATCCCTGCTAGTCCCATCTGTTCATTTTGGGAGTCTGTGTCATGACTGCCTAAATCCTGAAACCAGAAAGTCCATGAAAGTCCATGTGTCTCTGATGATCTGCATCGGCCAGCTCCCAGCCGTGCCGTTTGCCATTCGCGAGTGCCATGGAATGCTTGTGCGAAACCACACGCGTTTTTCTAGAAGAATGTGTTGACATTTGATCAACACAACAACTAGACTGCACCAATTTGATGGGGAAATTCAGCACCAGGCATACTGCAGCTAAACTCTTTCTTGCCCAGATGTGCTCAGATCCCTCACCCAGGAACCGATCGGATGTACTTGTGTATGGAGCTGTGCCGCAACTCGCTCCATGTGTTACCAACATTTGCAGCTCCCAAAACTAAGAAGGCTTCTAAAACCCATATCATCAGGTCAGTGGCTGAGTCACACCACACCACCTGACGACAGCTTCAGTAAGGGGACAGCCAAGGGACCGAACCGGACCCTGATCCGCTCGCCCCGCACCTCCGAGGTCAGCGTCATGCGTGGCTTGTAGGAGCGGCCTGGGGACCGCTGAGCCGAACAGCGAAGAAACGCGAAGAACGATGGCTGTCGACGTGTTCGCTCTTCCTTGGGGGGGCCGCTCTTGAAGCTATATAACCCCTGGGAGTCCAAGACCATGTTTCAAAATGGTCTTTAGGTGACCCGAGTCCAGGAATTTCCCTTGCTTGGGCGCCAAAAAGAGTCTTTGGATGTCTTTGGACTCCTTAGGGTACAACAGTCTAGCCAGCCGATACCAATCTGGAACTCCAACCCCCGCAACGCTCGCCCGCAGCACTGGGTGGGCCCCGGACTCCGCCGGAGCTCCCGACGCTCGCTGTCCAGAAGCACGCTCTGCGCCTGACCAGCATGAAGCATGGCTTCGTCCCGCCAGGTGGCCCAGTTCGAGCTCCACCCACCAAGGCCCCCCACCCAAAGCAGATGCGTGGTTCAGTCGGATTCTCCGGTCCTCGCCTGAATCAGTCGCTCATGAGGGCATGGCCTCGGTCCAGGACGCTCCGCTTCGCGAGCCGCGCGAGCCGCGAGCCGGGCGCGATCCAGCGGGCCAGGTGGCACGGAGAAACGGCTGGCACGGTGGTTCTGCTGCTTGCTTAGCACGACCGTTCTTCCACCTGGGCGCACCTCTCCCACCTGGGCAGAGACACCTGGGCGTCCCCAGCGGTGCCACGAAGGGGTTCGACTCGCTCCATGTCCCCAAGCCGTCCAGACCTCGATCAACGCGCTGCGTTGGAGGCACCACCGGAGTGGACCGATGAGGTGAAGAAGCCATGAAAAACAAGGAAAATGACTGATTGGATCATAAAAAATACCTTGGATCATGACCTAAATAAGGATCCATAAAGAAGCCATGATCCACTTGGAATACCTTGGATCATTGTTGTCTAAATAAAGGATAGTTTATAACATGTTGTCTCTGGTTGTGTGGGTGTCCAGGTATATAATATCATGTCTATATATGCACAAGGGCCCCACAATGGGAGGATATTCTTTTGGACCACCCGTTGTTCATGTCAGTTTGGCATGAAAAGGATGCAAGCATGTCAGGAATTCCACCTTTTGGCATGATTTCGGGTTCGAATTCAGGCACGCTCCCTTGGCACCCTCCCTCTTGGCATGGATGTCCATGTCGCTTTCGACCACATTGTGGAGCTTGTGCCAAGGGCTCAGCATGAGTTCGAAGCTGGTGAGACGGTGAAACCTGATTCCCGCTGCCAGCATTCAGCACGCAGGGTCAAAACAGGCTAAGCCGTCGGGACGAAGGCCCAAAGCAGCGAATCACAGGCTCCGACCCCGATCCAACGCCGTTCCTTCCAACGAAGTTCCATCAATTTGACACAGCTCAAACAGCCGATGGGGTTGCCACCAGCTCCCATCGCTGACCCCCGACGGAAAGGAAAAAGCTTCGCAGTCGCAGAAAGCGCTGGAGCATATTAATACCTCTCCCCCGGGGAGTTCAAGGCGATGTTTAGCATGATTGACCTGGTTTTAAGCGTAAAAATCATGAAGTAAAGCGATTAAATCTCGGTGCTCCACCCGATTCCAACGATTTGAGCTCAATCGGTGCTCAACGCAACGTTTTGGTCTCTGAAATCCCGGGGAGCAGAGGGGGGTTCGAGGCAGATCTCATCCGCCTCATCCGCGCTCGAAGCCTTGATAGCACCAGCAATCTGGGTTCACCACCCGGAACTCACAGCCGCGGCTCTCGTGCGCGAAGTTCATACAGCACGTCCACGCCTGGAGAAAGAGTTTTAGGTGGTAGTGAGGTGAGGGAGAAAAGCCACGAGATCCGGTGTTGTTTCGTTGGGCGGAGCTCACTTCTAGAGGTGTTTTGGAGACCTGAGAAACAGACTCTCAGCGCAGAGCCTCTGGATTTGGAGGAGGAAACAGAGGCGCCCTGTCCTCCCCCCAACGTGGCTGAATATGACTTGTTGGGCACGCCGCCTCAGCGTGTGGCGTAGCTTCCAGCTGTTGGAGTGCAGTGTGTTCGCATGAAGTCACAACTTCTGGCAAATGAAGTGTTAGGTGGCTTGGGAGAGGGTGAAAACCACCGTGGTTTCGGCGCTTCGTTTTGGTCGTTGTGGTTGGATGGAGTGATGTGGCTATGGGTCAAAACCTGGGGACTCTGGGTTTTCCCACAGAAAATGAACAGAATGGTCTACCAGGAAAGTCAACCTACCAGCGCTCCAAGCTTTGACCCACAGCCATGTGGTCCAACACTTCGACCGTGGTTTCGGTGTGAAGCGAAAAAACTGGGCAGCGGCATGTTCTCGCCGACGAGCCCCTTGGGATGGTGGTTTGATCGTTTCATCCATATCACGGCTCATCTTTCCATCCGCATTGCCCAAAGGATCCAAAAGTCTATGAGGTGGGGTGTTCCAAAGGGATACATACCGAAAAACTGGCCCACCAAGCGCGATCATGAAATAAAATAGCATCAAGTCAACCTGTACATCAAGTCACCTGGCAGTTCACCATGGCAACCGCCTGGCAACCTGTGGGCAACCCTGTGGCGCAACTCTGTCGCGCGCAACCCTGTGGAGACATCGAACTGTTTGATCACTGCCAGGACCCTCCAATAGGTGACCACCTGCGACTTACAAGTCTTATATATAAATCAAGTTAAATAAATCTCCAAAGCCTCCAGAGGAGACCTGTTGGAGGGTGCTAGCTGCTAGAACGCTTCGATCCGCCAATTTGATGCGGTCTTCACAGCACGTATTTGATGCGGCTTCAAACACCCAGGCGCTCGCGGTATATGTTTGACAGGTGCTCAGAAGACACTTTGTCTAAAGCGCTATCAAAACCCATGTCTTAGATTGTGGCACAAAAATATCAATCGGTCTGACCCTCAAGGGGTCTTTAAACGTGCCACAACCTTGTTTCATGGTCGGGACTTGTAAAGGTTCGGTTGTCTTAGCTATCTTGGTCGTCTCAAGGCATCTTAGCAGCGAGGGTTTTCCCACACAGCCACATGTGCATCTGCCATCACAACATTGTTCTTGAACCTGTAGACTGGTTCATGTTCCGAGCAGAAAAAGGATACAAAATCCAGCTCCTACTCACTTTCAAAAGAGTTGTTTTGGGCTGCCAGGACCTACATGTTCGAGCAGCAACCGCCACCATCTCTGGGCCTCACGCTTCTCTGCCTCATTCCAAACAAAGGTGCCAGGATGGTGATATTCTTTATACCTCTTGTCCTGGCCGGGCACTCACTCTGCACCAGGATGTGGGTGTGTGGGTGTGGCTACAAGGGTTGCTTCACGGGCAAGTGGACATCCGGGTCAGTAAATGGATCCAAAAGTGAATCCCCTCCCAACAAGTGTTTTGCACATTATGTCCATCCATTTGGGGGCGTTCATACAGCAACTTAACTTGTGCTTCACCACCACCTGGTTGCTACTTGGCAGAAACTCTTGGATCCTGGATTTTCTTCAGACCCTAGAGTAGATGATTCAAGACACGTGAAAGTCTGGATTTACTAAACAAAAAGACTGCGGGACTTCCACAGAAGAGACTCTCATTTCCAACTATACTTGACCTTACACTCGCAGTGGATTAAAACAATTGTCCTCTACAAACAGGTGGCTTTCCGCTTCCATGACTCAGAGAGTACCCCCTGTCTGTGCCATGTTCTTGTCCCTCTCCTGAGTCGTCAATGACAGATTCGGCCGGAAGCTCTCGTGCTGCACCGGGAAGCGGGACATCTTCTCATCTGCCAGAAGCTTCTCGTTCAGTAACCTGCCCCATTCGGGCAGTGCTATGCAGCGCACGTTTCATGAACAGGACATGGGCTTAGAGAGGGTAAGCATCCACCATTGGTGGCTTGAGAAACATACACTGTAAAACCATATCATTCTTGTGACTTGTGACTCTTGAGAAAATCTGATGCAAGTGATGTGCAACCCGCGCTTTTAACACTGACATGATGTTGACAGTATGTTCTAGCTGTCCACAGGCTTGGAGAAAGAAGGCCTTTCGGAAGAGGCAAATCAACCAATGCCACATACAATTTGGGCCATTTGGACCTGACCAGGCCCTTCGAAGTGAGTAGACCTCTCCGTTCCCGCCACGACCGACAGGCCACTGAGTGACCGCTTGAGCCTTGGTACCTACCAACCATGGAAGCTTGGGGAAGTTCAGATTGGACTACATCAAGTGGAGACTGCCTTGGTAACCCGGAATCCAATGTGGCTGTTCCTGTGCAACTTAAGTGACCTACCTAGCCCACTAGCGTTCCTGAAAGTAACGCTGAGCATCGAGAAGTGGACACCTCGTCTACCGTCAAAAACACCAACTCCAGAACTCCCCACATCCGTTCCAACAGCTTCACAGGCATCCGCCAGCTGGGCAGCGCTCAAAACCCCCCAACTTCCCAACCCCTTTTTCTTGACCCAGCCCACATCCGCATTCACCGTATTCGATCCGCCCACGCTTTTCCTCCGCTCAAAAAATAAACATCCGCCTCTGCGCCATCGCCTGCAGTCGCTCCTCCGACGCCTGCGGAAATTCCACTTTCAGCTCGCGCTTGAACTGCACCTGTGCCGCGTCTCAGGCGGAGGACCGGTCTCACGCGTGCCAAACGGGTTGGCTCGTGGTGAACATGAGACAAGAACTGCAAAGATCCAAAGCAAAGGCCGCATACAAAAGAAAACAATATTAAGTAGAAATAACTAGTAACATTGTATATCCGCCGACCCCAGCCGACATATAGTGAGTCCAAAACAACTCCTCCAACAACCACTTCTGTATATAGCTATAGAATGGTATAGACTATAGATTTCAAAATGAAACTGTCAAACCACCCATGAAAACTCTCCCTCTCGCTCTCTTCCCAACTCCACCCTGGGTCGTTGCTTCTTCACCCAACCCCCCCAACCCTGGACCCCCCAAAAACTCGAGCGATCTCGCGTTTAGGCCCCCGTTCGCCGTTCCCCCGTCCTCCCCCGGTTCCGGAACGGGCGTTCCCCAGGTCACCGCCTTCAGGTCGTGGAAGTCCATCTTCCGCTCCCGCAGCCGGTCGTTCATGTTGGCGATGGCCTCGTCCAGCGCGGCGTCCCGGCACGGCGTCCGGCAGCTCGGTGCGCGCGGTGGTGGTTTCGTTGGTTTCGGGAGGTGGGGGCGAAGGTGAGGAAGGAGATCTGAAGGAGCTGGGGAGAAAGGAAGAGGATCATTCAGCCCATGGAATCTGCATCAAGATTCCGTTTCGGAACGAGGTACCAGGTGTGCAGGGTGTCTGAAGAAAGCTGCCAAACGCATCACCGAAAGATCGACCAAGTCCCGGGTGCTCTTCGGAGCGGTCACTCCGGACGAACGGGGTGGACGAACGACCCAACGAACGGTGGGTGATTGCGTCCGGTGAAGTTGTAGGAGACCAACTGGAGAACCAGGCAACCTTGGTGACACTGGGCTTCTCACTAGAGAACCCAGTTTCTAAACAACTAGCAGGGAGACCCTATAGTTCCTCAATAGCCTGCTATTGGGACTGAACGATCAGAAATGACCAGCACCTTCCAACAGCTCTCACCTGTAAGTTTTCTCATCCTGATGAACCCGCCTGCGTTGGATTGAGGTAGGCTTCGGTGTTGACCTTGTTGTCCTTGGCTGCGCGAGGCCCGTCGCGAGGCCCGGGGGCCGTCAAAACCGCTGATTTGGTGGGACTTAAACCAGGCGGGCTATTGGTGTAGCGAGAAACAAAGCTGTTTATGATTGGCCGCACCGGGATCAAAAAGCAGTTTTCAGACTTGAATGGCTCTTGCAACTCCTTTTTTGGGGTTCCTGTTAGCACACTCAGTACTCTGGAGCAGGTGGACCCCAGGTAGTCCGTCTTTTTCTTCGCACACGCTGTCACACGCACCATCGCTTACTCACTGCCGCTCGGGCACCCGCGACATCATCCGCTTTCGTCGATCGTCCTGAAATGGTCCACAGAGAGGACCGGCTCAACAAACAACCAGCAGATTATCCACCGTCATGGTCATTTAGCACATCTGGCAAATCCTGGCAAATCTGGCTTAAGATGTGTTTGGAGGATTCGCCTGACATGAACCGAATTTGCAGTGGAAAAATGCTTGCGGATGTGGTGTTGTGCGTGTCTTGCTCATTCCTAGCCCCCTTCCACATTCACTGGCTCCTTCTGCTGCACCACCGCATGAGCTTGCATGATGTCTTCCTGCCGGAAAGTCTATCCCAAAACGGAAATTCTGAAACGAGGCATCCACGCTTTGCTGGTCTTGCTGGGGTTGAGCGTCTATTACTTTGGCCCGCCAAGCACCAAAGTGTCTAGAGATTCTTGGATGTCCTCAAAGTACTTCATTAAACACCAAATATATATATATATAACAAAACCTTCTGATGACATCTCGACCTTCTGAATATTTCGTCACCAACCGCCCCGTTGCGATTCCGTTGCCCTGAAGAGGGCATGCGTCTGACGGGGTTTTTCTTAACAAAGTTGGGGGCACTGCTGCCCTGAACATGTGCAGGCAAGCAGAAGCTGCAGACGTGCAAAATTGTATGACTTTGATCAGATCCTCCACCATTGCAGGAGGGTAGGGTCCAGACGTGCGCCACCATTCTTCTTGGTTCATATACATCTCAGTCCCTGAAATCTCACTCCCTGCCTTGGTATGCGTCGAGTAGGATGCATTCCAGTCATTCCACTGATCTGCCACGCAGTGAGCTGGAAGCCCCCGTTCATCCAAGGCGTTGAACCACTTGCCTGACCGGCTTCCGCTTTATTGGGCTACCCACTGCTTCGGAACATAAATCTGACGCAAAACGGACGGAGGGCGCCAAATGCAAAGGTCCGCCCGAGTTCAGGAAGAAGAGAGCAAATGCCAGGTACCGTACCTATATTAGTTGTACACAACCGGGGGTATCCCCTCTCAAAAAAGGCCATAGCAACCAACCAACCAACCAACCAACCACCCAAAACCAACCAGCCAGCCAGCCAAATTGAATGTGTTGCCTGGACGGATTGTAAAGAACCAATGTATTCATCAACCAACCAAGGCCGCACAAGGCCATCGATGGACGTCATTTGGAGGAGGGCTTTCCGAGGACACCGACAACAACAAGGGCGACGACGGTGACGATGCCAGGAGAACCATGTAGAGCCCTTGAATGTCCAAACACTTATTTGGCACCCAAGTAAAGGAAATTAATGTTCGGGTCAAGACCCTTTGCGTCTAGCCAGTTCCATGGAGCTCATAGGAAAATGTGATCCAAGCAAACTGCTGCAATGGACCAATGGCAAATGAATGGGCCGCCGGAAAAAGCCCTGGCCTGTGAGCTTGCCAAGCGGTCCTTGTCCAGTCATCGCGACGATGAACCTTGAGTGCATGTCTACTATGCAGGATACAATCATCTGATACAGGGAATTGCAAGAGAGGCTGGTGCGCAGGGTTCTGAGATTGCTCCGGTGCCAACGCAGCAAGTGTACTCCAACATGAAACACATGAGATTGTCACGTAGTAAAATGTGAAAGCTACATCTGTTACAATCATTGCACTCAAAAAGAGGAGGGTCGGAGTTCGGATATCATCTCTTCCTGTTGAGACTGCTGAAGTCAATGTGCAGAGCTCCTCCAGTGCAAACAGCACCCATACCAATGCAGTGCGAATCCCACTCTCTCCAAACAAGCTCATCCAAATGCCGTACACTTTAGGACAGTTAGTATACCTTTTGACTTCCGAGAAAGAAGCTCTTGTTGGTAACCTTGAAAGGGAGCTGTGAAGGGCAGTGATCAGTGGTTGTGCGACTGTTCCAGGGTGGGGCAGCCTCCTAAGCCATGGATCCTTCAAGCATGGCATTCACCTTCTTTCACTCCAAGAATGAACGATGTGGACGTGAAAGACCAAGGCGCTTGTAGCGTTCCGTGATCTGCTCATCCGTGTGGGCTTTGCAAGGCTTCATGATCTTTTCCTTGCTTGATGAGAGATGATGAGTGAGGGATCTTCCCTCCCCAAAGCAAGAGCAAAAACACCTACAAAAACTGAAGTCTTTTCCCACCATTGCTCTGTTTGCAGAATGGCCGGAGAGTGGCCATTCTGAAAATTTTTGGCGGATCCCGGAAGGTTTCTTGGAGAGCTGCCCAACATCATGGGAACATCATGTACATTTAATTAGTGAACAATCCAAGTTTGGTCTATTTGAGTCTATTTTTCTGTTTTGGGGACTTCCTCACGTTGAGACGGCTGAAAAAAAAAGAAACAACTTCAAGCCTATACAACTAGGATGTGAAGGTTGAGATAATCCTACTTGAAGAAAATTCTTCTCCACGCAGAGCTGGCCAAGCAGAGCTTCATCATGGATCCCTGCACGGATCTCAAGCAAATGCCGCTTCAAGTCCTCGCCGCGAGAGCTCGTCACTCAGCGCGTCAAATCCGCCGGGCGATGGGTCCGCGTTCGGTTCGCAACGGAGAGCTCATGTATTGGAGACAGAGGTGTCTATTGGAGATCTCCAGGGATGTCGATTCCCCGAAGTGACTACACTGGTTGCTTTCACGCAGGGGTTGGTGTTGGCCCGGTTCGATAGGACTCCTTGAGTTTGGGGGGAAGTGTAGTGAAGACTCGGCATAGTTTCCGAGTGAAGTGATGAGTCTCTGAAACAGTGCGTCCACAATACTGAGGCGTCTACTCACCCTGATCCCTTCAATATCTGGAAGGGTTTCTGTTTACAGGTGCTCCGTCCAGCTTCTACGAAGCTGAGTGGATCCAATATCCCTCTTGAATCATCCAAAGTCATGTAGAGATCAGAGATGGAGTTTGAATGGCATGGCCGGGTGAGGACTCGGCCCAAACTCCCATTGTCGAACTCTCTTCAGTGGAGTCTGACCCGTGGAGGTCGGCTGTGACGGAGCTCGGCGCGTGGACCGTGGACCGGACGAAAGCTCTCTTCGACATCACGTGCCCAAACCCAATGGATATGCCCCCGGACGCCCCGCTCGCTGCCTCGCCCTTTTTTTCCACGGGTTCCTCACGCGCCCGTCAGCATCAACAGGCCTGCACCTCGCAGAGGCGAGGCTTGGCGTCCCGCAGCCCACCACTTGGCATCCCCAGCTAGTTGGCTAGTCATCACTTTTGGTCCTCGAGAGAAAATCGAAACTAGGACCAGGGCCAGCTTCACAGCTTCATCGCTCTCAAGTTGCTCAAGTTGACCGTTGGCGCTCTGAACCCGATCTCGTCAATCTCTCAGACTTCCGGCATCATCCACAGGTCCACCACTTCCGGACGGAACGAGAGGTGCCAGCGATGCCCAGCAAACATGAGAGGAAAAGCACCGGGCAGTTCACTCAATGCTTCGGGCTTGCACACAGCGAATGTACTTTTCCACAGCAGGTCCCGGGCAGTTGGACAAGGCCGCACCATGGCAGTAGCCCAGAGCCTGTTGCTCATTCCTCAGTGTTGAGGGATAGCCACCTGATCCATGATAGAGGGAATTCGGCTCACCATGGGCAAACTTGGAGAAACACATGGAATATGTTCGAAGCGGAAAAGAGACGCCATTAGCATGTCTGATTTAACTTGTGTGTGTGTGTGTGTTAAAGCGCCTCCTGACAGCCCCTTGCCCGGCCTTGGGGGGCCTCCGTCCGAACTTCCCCCAATCTTCGTTTGGAGGGAACTCCCTATACAAAGACACATACATATACATACCTGTACATGTACATATACGTACACATACACATATTATTGATGGCCACGGCCCACTTACTCTTCCCTCCTGGAAGCTTCCCAATCATCTACATATACGAAAACCAATCATCAATCTACCAACAACTTCGTTCTCACATCCCAAAAGTATGCCAACACCCATCCAAATCCAGCGCCCATCAACTCACCATGTCGGGCTACAAGTAGGCGATGGCGGCCTCCCGCTCACACAAGCCCGCGCAATGCTTCACGTCACGGCCAGTGGCCTGACGCTGCTTCGGTGTTTTCGTGTTCGGATCGAAGAGGTTCCAACGAACTGAAACCATTATGAGAACAACCATCTATGGGGGAAGACATGTTGGAACTCCAAACATGATGGGTTCCCCCATCTATAGCTGGAGGTGTTGGTTCCAACCAAACTGGTTCTGTGGGGTTCCAACCATCTATGCACAGACAATGAGAATGCGAACGGGAAATCACACATCAAGAGGCGGGACAACTCAGGCTGAAGAGGTGGTGTCCCCCCCGAACGTACTTTCGTGGCTTCCATGGTCTGATCTGGAGGATATATAGAAATCGACGCTGGAGGACACGGTGATGCAGCGGAACACACCCTGGCGAAGCCGCCCCAGGTTCTGCATGGTTCTGCCGGTTCTGTGGCGGTCACATGTTCTGTCTTCATGTGGCTGCACTGGCCATGTGCAGATTTCCCCATTGAAAAGAAAAAGTTCAACAAAAGACACCAGGCATGGGAACGAGGGGGTATATAAATCAGACTATTGAGCTTATCGTTCTGCGTTCTGTCTTTTGAAACAAAGAATTGCAGGGCATCGGACATTCACTGCGGCAGGTCATACAACCGGTCTACCCTCCGGTGTTTATTTTTGGGGGTTCTCAGCCTGGGCTTTCAAACCCACTTGCTGAAAAATGTCCACCACGGGGCGAGGAAAAAAAAGGGTTTCTGATGAGAACCCATCTGGCCCCATCGGAGAGAGCCATCCTGACCCGATCCAAGGTTCTTTCTCATGCATGCTGACACTGGCCAGGCGATTCACATCCTCTGGATGCAAGTGCTTCCTCAGCAGAATAGGCAGAATAGAGAAAAGATGGATCCCTCGCTCTAGCAGTCTTGCTTCACTTTTCGTGCATGTTCTTTTTGGTGGAATCCCGTTGCCCTCCCAAAAACGAACAAGCCAAAAACAGACTGGTGACTAGGAGAGAAGAGCTTCCCGCCTTTTAGCTGGTTGTTCGAAACTCTGTCCAACTTCCATGTTTGTTGAAGGCTTCTGCAGCTGGTCTCGTCTACCTCATTGAACACAAGTCTCGTCCAAGTCTTGTCTCCCCTTCACCTTTCACTCGAGAACCCCCCAATCGGGGGAAGACAAGGGCCATGGTTTTTCACCATGTCCACAAGGGGCCATGGTGTTGTGACATCAAATGCTGCACTCGCATGCATGTGTTCCAGGATCGCGGAACAAACACGCACAGCACCCAGTACGGCTCAGGAAGATAATAGCAATCCATTTATGTGTACAACCAGGGTAATGAAAGTTGTAGACACCAGCAAGAGGAAATCTGTATCATCTTCCAGTCTCGGCTAGCACCCACATTTAAACTTTGTGGGTCACACCTATGCAATTTCTAAGTGCGATTCTCGTGCTAGCATCATGCACTCGCATGCTGATGCTTTTGGCACCCTATCAAAGCCATATCCGGATTCCTCATGCTCCGTTGGGTGCCGAACCACACCCCGCCGAACGGGTTTTTTCGCATCTTTGGTCCGAAACCGAACCCCAGCCACTCTCCGCGTGCGTCCAGCGGCGCGTAGCTCCTCCACATGGTCGCCAGATGTTCGCTCTCCGGCCGCTGGAAGCGAATGAGCTCGGCTCGGTGCCGAACGTCCAAGGGCAGACGCTCCAAGCGGTTGGTGGTGCCAACGACCAAGACCTTGCTACCTAAGGTGGCGATGGGAATCAGGTCGGGGATGAGGCGAACAAATGGAACAGACATGAACGGACTCATAGCAGATCCTTCAAAAGCTCTCATTTGAGGTGGCTTGAGAACTTGAGGGGAGTCCTCCTGCAACTGGAGGGAATGAATCAAAGAGGCTTTCATCTGGCCCCTCCGTGCAAGTCAAATCTTTGAACTGCAAAAGACACTTGTTTGGCTGCGTAAGGCCTGAGGCCTGCCATGAAAAATCACAATCTGCCGCTTTCGCCATTGCGGAGGGTACCCTACAGATCTAGCCCTCCGCAATTTCTGAGACGACGGTGATGGAACGGATGGATGTCAAGGAAGATGTAAGGTCCTAACCCAACCTCACCCAGCAAACCACAACCCAAATGTCCTACGCAAGGAAATTATCTGGATCTGAGTCTGAGTCTAACCTTTGTTTGGCCCTGAAACATGGTGATTCTGGCCTCTCAAGATTCAGGGAATGCTCCTGGTTTTCTCAGGTTGGAAGAAGAACTGCAATGCTCCAAATTGGGCTGGAAACTCCCTACATGCCCAGCCGATATTGGTCTAGAGGTTTTTGTTCGGTTGCCGAGGCGTGAACGTTCACGCCCCAAACGGCGGAAAGAACCGGTCCAAAATCAGAATGCCTCACCGCCTCGCCTTCACCCACTCAGGTGAAATCTCAGCTTATCCTTTTTACTCGTGTCCGCTTGTCGGTGGATTCCTCTCTCGAGGGTGATGGTCCGTTTGTCGTCTGGGTATCAGAGTCTTGATCTTTGGAAGAAGCCTCTGCGAACAATCTGGATTTAGGGCGAAACCTCAGTCAAACCCCTGCAGTTTACCCCAGAGTTTCTTGGTTTTGCTCATGGATGTCAATCAAACATTCCCTGATTCAAAATTTTGCTCCGGCCTGATGGTTGGCAAACTCCATCCAAAAACTGCCGCAGCCCAGAACAGAAGCCCTCGTCGCTGGCGAACTGGTCGATCTCATCAAGAAACAGAATGCAATCACGTCCGCGGATCTCACGACGAATGGACGATGCCCAAGCACTGCAGAGAGATGACCCACTCGTCGCTCCAACTCCCAGCTGTGCGGGGTTCATCGTTAAGAGGGGCAGGCCCAGCGCACGCGCGAAACTCACTGCATGCCGCGTTTTGCCAGTTCCTGGAGGCCCACTCAAGAGGAGTAGCTGAGCTCCATCAGCCTGCAGCGCACTGCCTTCCTCCCGCGTCATGCGCTGGTAGTGTCGGAAGTCCTCGCAGAGCTCGGCATAGTAGGCCAGGAGCTGTAGTTGCTGTGACTCGGTGCCCACCAAGCCATCTTCCTGGATAAAAAGCTGACTCTCCCTGCATATTTTTAAGGCCATCCCGTATTCTCTGGCAGTCAAACCTCTGGTTTCCCTTCTGCGTGTCCGTTTTGGCGGAAACACCACCCTCTTCAGTCCAAACCATCGGTAGGCTGCGCAGCTAACTCCCAAACGCACACCGCTAACTTCACACTTCCAAAATTGTCCCTTCTCCTCTCCTGGAAGGCCTTTTGTCCCTTCGCGTCCCCACCACTCAGCAGCTCTTCGGTGAGTCGTCCCCCTGCCCCACCGGCTCCGCCGACTACCGCGCTGCTCGGCGCTGCGCCCGGCGTGCCCGGCGCCGCGCCCAGGAGGTGCGGTACAGACGCAGCGGCACGGGGCGGCTCGCGGCGGGGAGGAAGCTCCAAGTCTTCCAAGGTCACCTCCACAGGGAAACGGTCACCTGGATTAATCGTAAGGGTCCCGATGAAAAAGGCAGGTGAAGTAAGTGGGAGATGTGCGGGTTGACTGTGTGAGGTCTGTGACAGAATGAATGAAAACAAAGGGTTAGCTAGCATGTACTCTTTCCCTGCGGTCTGAAAAACTGGATGGATTTTAGTTCAGAGATGGTGCATTCACAAGTCCCAAGGATACTGCACCCTTTGCCACTCTGAAACTTGTTGATGTGCTTGGGATCTGTTTAGGGCACCTGAGAAACGCCAATCGCCAACGTCCCGTATCAGCCCGACCCCCTCGCTCGACCTGCACTCGACTCGTCACGTGTCCGGATGATGCGGTGCTCTCCACGGAGCTGGAGGAGCCCATGGCGTTCAGAAAAAAGTAGCTTCTTGTTACTACTAGTAAGGCCAGGAGCCCCTAGTAGCTTCTTGCTCCTAGTAGTAAGGTACTTGTTCCTACTAGCTACTTGTTACTACTAGTAAGGCACCTGTTACTAGAAGCGATGCACTTGTTCCTAGTAGCTTATTGTTTCTAATAGCTTTCAGAAATGAAGACCAAAAAGAGTGAAGTTCCGAGACCTCATCGGGATCCGCAAAACATGAGAGGTATGTACCTCCGGGAAGAAGAACCATACTGTAATGAGGCCTTTTTGGGGGGCTGTTCAACCTCTTTAGAACTGGAAGAAGAACCTTCCCCTTGACATCATCACTTCTCTGGGCTGAATGAGCTGGTCACACTATTGACCCTAAAGGTGTCTTTTGAGAAGGTCTTCAAGGGTCTTCTTGAAGCTCTTGGTGTTGGTCTGGCTTTTCGTACGCAGTCTGCTACATCGTGTTCAGATTCCGAATCGACGTTTTCTCATGGCCCAGTAAGGTGTGTGGGTGTGTGCATGGATCTCTGCCCAGCGCCAAGAATGTCTGGGGTGCAACACAGCAATCCTCGAGTGGAAGTTTGCTGTCCTGAAGACCTCCAAAAAATCTCCCGAAGACGTCCATTAAGCCACAAATGTTCCCCGTTCGCTGCTGATCAACGGTTTCCGCGCCGGCTGAGCCGATGGCGGCAGGAACCCAGGACCGAACCGAACCCACCGAAAATTGGACATGACATGCGTGATTTGGACTGGCAGGAGATCCCGAGAGTTGTAGAAATCCCAGTTCTTGGATAGAATGTTTCATGACACAAAGGAGTACATCTATCGAATTGAGGAACTTGATTGATCATCTGTTCTGGGTCATCAACTGTACATGAATTCCATGAACTTGAGGTTAGTTCTACATGGTCTTTGGTTCTATCTGTGTGCAACCTTCTCCTTCAGCACCAACCAGTTCTACAAGCCCCACGGTTTCATCCTTGTGAACATCCTTCTGGATCTTCTGGTCTGCGATGGTCGAAGGGTTCCTGAGCGACGGGTTCCTGCGACATCGCTCAAAGCGACGGCTCCGACCCGCCAAATCCCCGACGGGTTTCGAGGGGCCCGGAACACCCCTCTGGAGGCTTTGACCCCGAAGGTGTCCAAGGATTCGAGATGGGTTCACCCTCACAAGCCGCAAATGTCTGGTACAGAAGACCGAAGTACTCATTCAACCAAACGCCGAGACTGAAGCCCATGCTCCCTGAGTTTGGAGAAGCCCAAAAACAAGAAGCTCTCCCTCCCTTTTCTCCTGTTGCGAGTCCTAGCCAGACTACGTCGTTTCTAAGGGGGAGACTCGAAACGCGAAGGTCTTCATATTTAAAACACATCTCTCTGGCTCAGCCCGCCAGCGTGATTTTCACAAGAGAGAACTTTGTGGGGAAGTACTGGGAATCCTGATCCAGGTGCCCAATGCAAAATCAATAATCCAAATATAACATATTCAGACAATATATATATATATATATACAATTGTTCTTTTTAAAAAAACGTAATAATAACAATAATAATACATTAATAACCTACAATGCTACATCAACAAAATAATGTGGACTGCTTGACAGCTAGTATGGAACAATGCCCTCGCATATGACCCCGGCTCTGCGACCGACGTATTTTCGGCCATACTCCATCACTCCTCTCAGGTATCCCCTTCCGTTCAACCCATCTTTGAGGGTTCCGAAAGCCCAAGGTGCCACTCGCGCTTCTCGGTGCCCAGGATGTTCGGCTGCTTCTTCTTCTGCACAGCTCGCTTGGAGTCCAAGACCTCGGGAGGGAAGCAACAAAGGTGGCACGAGTGAAAGAAGTGAAGAGATGCCATCAGGCTGCTCTCGTTTTGGGATCCTCAAACAGTTTGAGATCCATGTGATATATCTCATACTTATGCATCGATCCTATCCTATCTGAACTAGCACTTGGAAAAGGAAGTGCCAAAAAAAAAGAAACATTGCACCAGACTTACCAGACTCCAGACCAAACAGAAAAAAACACCAGGACCCTCGCGATGTGGGTGGCGGCCAACGGGTGTGTCGGACGAGGCCCCAGCTTCGGGTCCCATCGCCAAACGCGTCGCGCGAAACGCGGGAACCCGGTCCCCTCCCGCACCTCTTGGGGCACATCACCACTGTGGAAGACCTTCTGTGCCAAGGTGTAGTTGATCTTGTCACTCTTGGCCGAGCCCACCTTGGAAGTGACCGTTTCGTGTCAAAGGTTTGGAAAAAAAAAGGGAAACGGGTTTGGAAAAACAATGAAAAACAACTCTTGATACAGATGGGGGGTCAAATAAAATTGGACGCGTGCCACGGCACGATTTCTTCGGACGGTTCCGCCCGCAGTTCTTCGGTGTTGAGGGCACCGAACACAAGCGTCTCATGGCGATAAGACCGATAAGACCGGTGTGCATCCAAAAACATGTTGGGTCGGGAGCAACCAACTGTTTCTGCGAGGTTGCGTGCCTTCAAAACCCACATCTCATGTATCTATGAGGCCTCCGGAGCCCTTGTTTGTTCGTTCAGACAACACAAAGAGATACCGTAGATCCAAAAAGAAATGACTCACTGGCTTCCGGACAAAAAGAAACAAAGAAAAGGGCCTACTCCAGGACCCTCCAAGGGGTGCCCAATGGAAGCCTATAGGTAGTGTGGGGTAGTCCATTGGACACCCCAATTTGTGGGTTCCTCGTTGCCCTCAGAACCTCAACCGCCACGCCACGCCCTTCGTCCCCCCCTCTTCGTCCCGTGGGCAGCGGGACAAGACCAACAGCAACACCTCCGGTTTCAAAGCACCTCCTCCACTCCTCCAGGGATCTCCGCGCCTGAAACTTGCTGGTGAGGTATGGATGTGTCATGGAAGATTTCAGCGTCGCCGTGGAGTTCGGCGCCGACGCCGCGGCCGCCATGGAGTGCGTCCTGTTGACCAGGACCCGGACGACCGTGCGCCGGGGGGGTCACGGATCGGGTGGGTCGAAGGGTCGGGGACTGAGACTCTCGACCCACGCGATGGTCCCGTGTCGATTGGGCCAATCCCATGCGTTCGACCATGACAGCTTCGGCGTTGATCCAAACCTATCTCAAGCATCAACGCCCCAGTCATAGACAAACACAAGCCTATCACGTGGCACAACGTCTATCTCAAGCCCCCCTACACGTTGATCCCAAAGTGGCACACAAGCCCCCAGTCTATGCGGACAGCAAGCCACAACACGTTGCTGAGGCGAAGATCGTTGCTCCGAGATATCGTTTGATGAGTCGACCATTCGGCAGCGTGTGGCATGCAATGAATCAGCCCCAGCCAAGGGGTATGAGTTCCCCATCCCTGCAATACCCATGCCAATGGAACACGTAAAATGTGTAATCCTTATGTATGTATGTATGTATGTATGTATGTATGTATGTATGTATGT